GTGCTTTGGAAGCTGTCAGTGTTGTTAAACAGCACTTTTTTCATAGAACCTGTAAAGCCTCTTGGCTCAGAAAACTTGCCCTTAAAGGTGGCATGGCAGGAGCTGCCCGGAGGCCTCGGGTTCTGGGTCTTTAGATGGTGGTAGCACCTCTCTGCCTGCCAAGGCTCCACACTCAGTCAGGTAACTTAGAGGCAGCAGTTTCTTCCTTGCCCTCTGGATCACAGCAGCCTACCACTGGTACTCACTCCTACTTTATTCTTCTAATGTTTTACAGGCCTCATTTATCTACTCTTTTCTTTGTAAAAATAAAAGACAAGGGTCTTATAAAATTCACCATTTTTTCTATACAGATTTTTTAAAAACTCATTCAGTAATGTTAGATAAGAAGTAGAGTTCTATACATTCTTGATAGGAAGCAGCAGAAGATCTCTTGATCTCTTCACTTATGAGAGGATCAAACTATATAACTTCAAAGCTAACTCGTCCTATCAAGGATACAACTGCTCTTATGGTGTTAGGCATTGGATACAGTTAAAACATTGGGAATTGGTAGAGGTTAAAAAAAAAAGAAAGAAAACGAAAAAAGAATTTAATGAAGTTAAGCAAGCTATCTGGAGCCATAGTCCTGAAATCCCTTTTCTTTCCACAGCTTCTAGATCTCCTCTCCAGAGCTACTCTCAAGTAACATCCATGGGACGGGCCCCCTTGGCTCCAATCCACACTCCTGAACTTTAAGGATCAATGAGCCATCCTTTTCTCTGGCCACATTCATCTTCACAGGAAGGTCACTTATATGCACACCCCTCTTCTCACCCACAGGAAGGTTCACAGGCAAGGTTGGAGCAGACACAGAAGACACCAACATTGCCGCTATACCAAGGGACCCGAGTGACTTTTAGAATTCACCTTCACCAGCTCTCCTTCCTGAAGAAGGCATCTAAAAGTGCAAAAGCACAGATTCCATCCTTTACTAACTGCAGAATCTTGGGCGAGTTACATAGCCTCTCTGCGCCTCACCGGCAAAGTGGGGATTATCAAACTCACCTCACAGGATTGTTGTGAGGATCAAATGAGTTGACTTAGGTAAAGCACCTAGGACATGGCATGGTATCTAGTAAGCACTCAATAAATCACTCAGTTCCTTTCCCTGTGTTGTTACTTTGAACTTTCTGAAAGGATCAGTGAAGTCAGCTATCCAAGAAGTTTTCACTGCTTTTTTTTTTTTTATAGTTTTTTAAAAATTTTTCAATTAAAATTCAATTTGTGGAAGTAAAAATTTTTAAACCTAGTTTCTCCTTAAGCTTTAAGTTCAACTTACAAATCTCTTGTTCTATTTATGACCCTAGCATCGAACAATAATTTTTAGAAGATTCTTTACAAATTTAGTTAAGTTTTCTTAAGCATTTCAAAATGGATTTGTAAATTTAACATATTCTATTTTATTTTCCCCTAAATACTTCAACCTATACTCTGGTTAGCTATTGCTGTGCACGTTCATCCCTAAGACAATGACTTAAAATAGTCGTAATGATTTATTTTGCTCGTGAATTTGGGGCTTGACTGGGCTCAGCTGGGCTGTTCCCACTCGATTTCTTATACCGTTGTATTCAGAGTGGCTAGGGCTAGGATCACTTCAAAGGGTTCTTCACACATGTATTTGGGGCCTAGTCCAGGAGACTCAAATAGCTAAGGGCTTGAACAGCTGGGCATCTTTGGATCTCTCTTGCTCTCTCAATAGTTTATTCACTTTTGTTGCTGTATAGGACTGTGTTGTAAGAATACACCACAATTTACTGATAGGCATTTGAGTAGTTTCTGGCTTGGGGCAATCGTGAATAGTACTGCTATAAACACTCTTGAACATATTTTTTGGTACTTATATGAATACATTTCTTTGGTACACACCTAGGACTGGAACTAGTAAAACATATGTTCAACCACAGTAAATATTATCAAACAGTTTTCTTAAGTGATTTTACCAATTAATATTTCCACTAGCAGCGTATGTGAGTTTTAATTGTTTCTCATCCTCTCCAATAGTTGGCATTGCCATTTAAAAAATGCATTTCAGCCATTTGGGTGTATGTCACAGCATATCATTGTGATTTTAATTTTCATTTCCCTGATGAATAATAAGGTCGAATACCTTTTCGTGTTTTTATTATCCATATACATATTCTCTATTGTATATTATCCACATAGATATCTATTTCTAGTTCTTGTCCATTTCTCTATTTGTTTATATGTTTTTGCTTATTGACTTAAAGGAATTCTTTAACTATACAAGTTAAAAGTCCTTTGTTGCTTATATATATTCAAATATATTCATCCACTTTGTGACTCTTTTTTTTTCTCTAAATGGTATCTTTTGATGAACATAAATTCTTACTTTCATTGTAGTGATTTAATCATTCTTTTTCTCTACCCTAGTGCTTTTTTGTGTCATGTTTAAATAATCTTTTCCTCCCCTGAAGATGTTCTTCTATGTTACCTTCTAGATATTTTATTGTTTTACATTTTAGAGTTAGATCTACAATCAACTTGGATTTGATATCTGTGTATGGTGACACATAGATCAAATTCGTTATTTCCAGTGGCTATCCAGTAGACTACTTACTGAATTGATTATCCTTTCTCTACTAATATTCTGTGTCCCCTTTGTCATAAATCAAGTGGCCATATATATGAAGGTCTGTTTATGGATCTTCTATTCTGTTCCATTAGTCTATTTTTCTATCCATTGATAATATAACTTAGTTGTAATTACGATAGCTTTATAATAAGTTTTGATATCTGGTGGTCTTCAAACTTCATTCGTCTTCAAGCCTTTGTTATTCTTGACCCTTCCCTTTGTATATCCATATAAATTTTAGAATCGGCTTGTTAATCTCAACATAAAATTATAAACTGCTGAGATTTTTTTTTACACCAACAGCACCTGGTCTTTTGAGATGGTCTCCCATTCAGGTACTAATCAGGCCCAATCCTACTTAGCTTCCGAGATCAAATGGGATCAGATATATCCATATAAATTTTAGAATCGGCTTGTTAATCACAACGTAAAATTATAAACTGCTGAGATTTTTTTTTTTACACCGACAGCACTTGGTCTTTTGAGATGGTCTCCCATTCAAGTACTAATCAGGCCCGACCCTACTTAGCTTCCGAGATCAAATGGGATCGGGGGTGTTCAGGGTGGCATGGCCATCTGAGATTTTTATTAGAATTACATTCACACTGTGAATCAGGTTGGTAAATAATTGATATATTTATAATATTGATTTTTTAATCCATGAACATTGTAGAGCACTTCATTTATTTTGGTCTTTTTTCTTTTCTCTCAATAGTGTTTTGTAGATTTCCATGTAGATACCCTTGCACAGTTTTAGTTAGATTTATTTGTAGGCCTTTGATGAATTTGATGCCATTATAAATGCTATAATTTTTTTTACTTTCTAATTTTTTATTGCTGGTATATAGAAATATAATTGATTTTTGTATCTTCAACTTCCATCCCATGATCTTGATAAAGTCATTTATCAAGTCTAATACTTAATAAACAGTGTACTTAGGATTTTCCATAGATTTAATTATGTCATCTGTAAATAATGATAGTTTTATTTCTTTTTTCCTGACCTATACAAACCTTTCTCCTCCTTTACCCCGCTTTTTTTTTGCATTTGTTGTTACACTGGGTAGGACTTCCAGTACAGGGATCAATAGAAGGGATAATAAGGTTTTTATAATACCCTTATCAGATTAAAGAAGTTCTATTCCTAATTTTCTAAGAACACTTTTTTAAGATCATGATGAGTATTGAATTTTATCAAATGGTTTTCTGCATTTACTGAGATTATTTTACTCCCTTATTCTTTAAAGAATTATATTAATATACATGTGAATATTAAAACAAACATATCCCTGGAACAAATCCAATTTTATTATGATTTATTTTCCTCTTTATGTATTTCTGAACTTGCTTTGCAAATATTTTATTTAGGATTTTTGCATCTATATATCTTGTAATATCATTGTCAGGTTTCGATATCAAGGTTATATTGACTTTGTAAAAGGAGCTAAGAAGTACCCTCTCTCTCCTTTTTTCCTATTCTTTGGAAGAGATCTTAAAACCAAAACAGTTTTATAACCCTTGATTCCCATCCCACCAACCTTACCTTCTGCTCTGTCTTCTTCTTCACTCAACTGCCCATGCCCAAAGCCTAGGAGTCTTTCTATTAGCCTTGCTAGTTTTATTTTCAAAATATGTCCTAAATTCAACTCACCACCACCACTGCCACCACAAATTTCAAGCCACCATTATTTCATACCTAATTAATTTCAACAGATTTTTAACTAGTCTCCTGGTTTCTCTTGCCTCTCCTCCCCATAATCTATTCTACACACACCAAAGTGATCATTTAAACATGTATATGATCTCATCATTTTATTCTTCAAAATTTCAAATGACTTCCTATTACACTTAGAATAAAGTCCAAACTTCTTACCATGTGATATTAGAATCAGCTTATTATGACTTAATAGCACAAGGGTTTATTTCTCTCTTACTTAAAGTCTACCAAGAGTCTGTATGACCCATCAGGGCAACTGTCTTCATGTTGCAACTCAGGGATCCAACCTACTTTGACTTTCTGTCTCGGTCACTTAAAGAAATAGCTTGATGTTCCTAGCACTTTGATGCTTTACTTTGATGCTTTGGCCTGGAAATAATACAAATCACTTCTTCCCCCAGTCCATTGACTAGAGCTATTTATATGGACACAATTAATAATCAACTTTGTGCTTTGTTGATGAAAGGGACTGGGAAATGTGGGGAAGCAAAAGGAATGCTTGATGACTACTACTCTTCTAGCTTCCTATGACCCAGAAGCCCTATCCGCCTGTCTCTCCAACCATGTTTCATTCTGCTCTCATTCTCACTCATCATTTTTCAGCCACACTAGTCTTTTTGGTATTCCTCAGACACATCTAGCCTCTTTTTATGTTAGGGCCTTTATAGTTTTTTTTTTCCTCTCTGTGATATGGTTCACTCATTCCTTCTCCTGGCTGACTTCTTCTGGTCATTCACTTCTCAGCTCAAATGTTACCATCCCATCTAAGATATCCACCTCACCTCACCATCACCTTCTATCCCCTTGCCCCGCTTGGACTTTCTTCAGAGTCCTATTTTCTCTTTCCTCTACTCTCCTTTCAGGATCCCAATTATGTGTTTGGTAGACTTTTCAGTGTGTCTCATATAGCTCTTACATTCTTTTTCTCATTTTTTTCTGAAATTACACTGTGTATTTATTTTCGTTTGTGTTTGAGTATATTGTATATTTCGTAATAGAAAGCCCTGTCAGCTTGAGAATTTCATAGCTCTCTTGTCAACCCTTGAAGACTATTGTGAAGAATAAATGAAGCAATAAACAAACAACAGAAAAGCTCATCATACATTGTAAATTGAGACTCAATATTACCTGGGGTGTGGTGTCACCCCTCTAGCTAGAGGACTGCCCAAGCGGGAATGTTATTACATACATGTAATACACAGCAGAGATTCCTCAGGATGGGGAGTTCTTTTAGTGTGTGTGTGTGTTTGTTTTTAAAAAGATCAAACCTAACATGGCAGAAGTTGTGCTCTTATTATCTAATGGTATATATATAATGACAAAAGACATTTGAATTTTTGAAAGGTTTTTAGATAAATTTGTGAATCTCAAAAAATTAACCACAATAGTATCTTTATGTATTTGAAATATAGCATTATATATATGCACAAAGCATTGTATTTATTTAGTCTACAGATAATTCTTGACATCATATGGATTTACTAACCTCTTACGGAAACACCACACTAGAGGTCCACATATGTGAAAAGAAAACCTTTGGCTTGTAACTTTATATTTTCAGCCATAAAGCCTGACATATAGTCAGATTTGCTCTAAGGAGAAGACAGTAAATATTTTCTTATCTCATAAATACTTACTAAATATCCACTGCAGTGAAACACTATGCTGGACACCACATGCTTTACTAGGTGAATCATTCATGGTATCTGCCCCAAAGGCAATCTAGATCTAAAAAAGGAGAGACAGTAGTTATAGGCACCCTCTCCCCTCTGCACTAAGGCCTTATTAAGTCAAGTTCAC